TAAAAACTATATAAATTTTGCGCCAGTTTACAGGTAACATATAACGGAAAAGTTTAAAATATTCATTACTACATCGTGAATAAGATTTTTTTTTTAAGTATTCCCCCTTGGTAACTAAGTAAGTCTAACTAATATTTACATAATAATTTTTTAATATAAAACTGAGAGTCACTTATATAGTGTTCACATATTTGAGGTGTCAAGAATGGCATTGGCAATTCTGGGACAAACAGGCCGTGAGTTTTCTAGGAATTGGATTGTTTCATATTTTTCATGTTGGGGCCGTTTATAGACGACTATACGGAATGGGTTTTTGAAGGTCGTACGGTTGTCTATGATGGCTTTCGTCCACTTCATTTGAACTTTGGTGAATAGTGATCTCATTGGCCATCATACCACATCTCTTTCGTCCCTCTTTTGGTTATTAACATTTTCAATGAGCCTGTAAAATATTAATCTTAAACAGTTTTCCATTACTTAGAAAATAGAGAGTGAAAAAAGGACGTTGATGATTGTAACTGTTCATGTTATTTTTGAAAGATCGTGGTAACTGATTTCTGGGATGGTGGTAACTTGCCAAAAGGTTGTATAAAACGACAAACTAAGTACAATGTTAGCCGTGATATATGGATATGTAAAGTATCATTACCTGTATTTACCTGAGTTTACTTGTCAAATAAATGCGCGCAAATGTTATCAAAAACTGCGCGCAAAAGAAATGGTAATGCGCGCAAACGTAATGCCTTAAATTAATTTACGTTACGTATTACGTCCTATATAATGACCCATAGTTGAGTACTACGTATCGGTATCAGGGGCGGATCCAGACACTGTGAAAAAAGGAGGGGTGTGCTGGCCAGGGTTTCTCAGAAAAAAGGGGGTGCTAGTACTTTATTTACTTAACATTTTTTGTCAATTTGTCCCATGAAAAAGACAAATTTTCAATAAAAAAGTGGGGAGTGTTAATCCCCGGCACCCCCCTTTTTGGATCCGCCACTGAGTATTGCTCTGGATCTTTATATATAATCAATTTCATAATATATATTCACAATTGAATTATTTGTATATTATCGAAAAGACAATACTATGGAAGTCACCAACGAAAGTGAAAGAAGCTTGATTGTGGTGAAAAAAAAATTATATTGTACACTGGTCTACACTCATTTTAAAATTATTTATTTGCACCATTTAAGTCCTTAAAATTGATAATTGCTTTTAATATATTCATTACAGAACATCTAGAATTTCTGTTAGAAGTAAAACACAAAAGTGCAAACGATTCCTTCTATTCACTATATGCCTTGATAAATGAGGATGTGTGGGGATATGATTTTGAGATATCAATAGGGAAAAAAATACCTTTCCGGCAATGATTTTAGAAAATAAAAAATATGAAATGATTGGGGGCTAACATTTTGTTTCAGGAATTTGCGAATTTAACTGGCATATATGCCTAATAATTGTAATTAATATGATATCGATTTAAAGGATATGTGTCTGACAAGTTTGAATGGTATGAAATGTTTTCCAGAGATTCCTCTCTGGTTTCACTTTAAAGCCGAACACATTTTTATGTTTATTTCCTGTTTCTGTTTCCCAAACCTACTATATTGAGGAGGGGAGGAGGGGGTCTGAACCCGAAATCCCGGGCTTAAAAGCTTAAAATTCAGAGGCCCGAAATTTAAAGAAATTTCAATTCCGACATCCTGAAATTTGAAATAGGAATTCCCGTATCTCAAAAGGATCAATCCCGAAATTCTGAGCTTAAAACCGCCTAATCTCGGAATCCCGAAAAAAGTCCCCACCCCATATTGTCATGTCCTAAGAAGCCATACTCTTATGGCTAGCATTTCTTGAAATATGTTTAACTTTTGATTTATCATTCATTACCTCAAATTAAGACTTTTTTTATATAAAACTATTTCTATCTATTCATTTTTGACAAGAAACAGGAATTGCATATAAATCTGTTTAAGGCTTTGTCTTTTGAATTTTCATTTGTTTAATTATTTGATTCTTTGTTGAAACATATATATATATATAGTTTTTTAGTTGGTATTACAATACTGTTTGTGAAATTGTTGCATTAAAGAATGTTTCATTTTACAAAACATTTTAATTTGTTTCCCCGACACATTTTTATCTCTTGTGCTAGTATTGGTCTATACTCCAATAAAGTGGTTTCAGTTAAGATGTGTTATTGTGTTTCATTTCATGTATAGTGATGTTAAACACTGTATGATCGAAAAGAAACCTCGAGTAATATAAAAATTACCATCATCGCCTAACTATTTTGATCGACAGTTACCATCATCCCATCTTGGAGTTACCATCATCATCGCATTTTTATTGTGTTCAATTTTTTCAGTAACGGACAGCTGTTTAAGGTTAATATTTCACAGACTTATTGCAAATGTTAATAACCAAACGACGGCTGAGTAATGTTTGCCACATTTATGTAAAAACGAAGAAATTAAGAGGGAAAGATCTTACGGGGATTCCCCCACGCCATATTGGGATCGTGGTAACTCTAGTTACCATCATCCGCTTGTCAACAGTTCGAGGATTCTTAACATAGTCATGAATTTCTAGTAGTTTTTCTTTTTGTAAAGAAAAGACTCTGTCACCACCACATTTGGTTAACTCAGACAGTGATAAAGTCCGCCATGATCCATTTAAATTCAAAAGAAATCTTCTAACCCAGCTTATATTTAGATTTTAATCTGGGATAGATTTGGTAAAGCTGTAAGCAAATGAATTATCTTTGGTAATGCCAGAATCTTAATAACATTAATTTTACCAAGTAGTGTAAGTTTTCGATGTTCACAAGCCTTAAGTATTGATGACATTTCCTTGATTTTCTTTGTGAAATTTATATCTAACATAGCTTGTAAATCTAATGAAAATTCTATTCCTAAAAGTTTTTAATTTGACTTTATTCCTTGAAGATTATAATCAGGGCAAAGTGTATGGTCTGAATATTTTTTTGTTCCAATCCAAATAAGTGTGGTCTTAGATGCATTCATTTTAGTCCAGATACCCTGTGAAAAGAATTAAAACATTTTAAATTCTCCTCTTAAGATTTTTCATTTCCATCCAAAACAAGAAATGTGTCATCAGCATACTGGCTCAACAATAATTCTTAGTTGTGAATAAGAATACCATGGATGTCATATGTAGATTTAAGTTTTTGGGATAATAATTCAACACCAATAATAAATAAATATGGGGAGAGGGAATCTAACTGTCTACAGCTTCTCCCAAAATTGGAGTAATTTGATAAGTTTCCATTATTTATTACACAGCTTTTAGCTTCTGAATAGAGAGTCTCAAACCATTTGCATATAGATGGTTCAAAATTAAAGCTTTTAAGAGCTTTTACTAGAATATCCCACTGAATAGAATAAAATGCTTTCTCGACATCAACATGTAACAGTAAACCAGTTTTATTATGCTCTTCCAGATAGTGCATCAATCATATAATAAGCGAATGTTTTCCCCAATAAACCTATCTTTTATTAACCCATTCTGAGTGTCACCTATCATAAATGGCAATACTGGTTTAAGTCTGTTAACTATAGCTACTGAAGCTATTTTGATGTCTGTATTCAGTAAACTGATGGGTTGCCAATTACTCATATATCTTCTATCTTTTCCTTCTTTTTGAATACACTCTGATATTGAAAATTTGAAAAATGTTCATGCTCATAACCATTATATAAAGATCGATATATAAATGGACCGAGATCTCTCCAGAAAAATTTATAAAATCGACTGTAAATCCATCTGAACCAGGACTTTTACCATTTGTCATATGTTTCAGTGCAAATGCACATTCATCAAATGTCAAGTTACCCTCCCACATATCACTTTGTTCCTGTGTGAGTTTAACATTATGGTTATAAAAAGAGTTTTCTTCACAGTCAGATCTTCGGCTTGAATACAGAGTTTTATAGAATTTCTGTTGTTCAAGAAGAATGCTTGACTGTTCAGAAATATGTATACCTTGGTCATCAATCAATTCAGCCATTGTCTTTTTAATGAAATTACTCTTTTCTAATTTGCAAAAGTATTGGGGGCATTTTTCTCCATTTTTATGCCAATTTGCTCGTGCTCTGAGGATTAAACCTTCCATCTTGTGTTCCCTTTTTATTTTCCAGTTCTAGTTTCTTCCCATGTGAAGTAGCTTGAACATTACCACTCGGTGACATACTCATAATCTTTTCTAATTGTTCAACCTCTTTTTCAAGCTTACATGTATGTTCTCTTTCCTCTGTTTTTTTTTTAAAGTCCTGATCTTCATCTTCAAGATTTCAAAAAATAATTGGTCATTACATGTTAGTTTAACATCAAGACAATTTTGAATGTCACCTGAAAGATAATACTCAGAAACAGTGTCTTCTATACATGTCTTTATTTGTTCAACATCCTCAAAATCTCTAACAAGTTGTGATTTAAATTTCCAATAACCCTTTCCCCGCTTTGCAAGACTGGCAGAAAAAGTAAAGACAATGGCAGAATGATAAGTCTTATAACCAGGCATGATTTTTGTGTTTCTCATAAGAGAATGAATGTCCTCAGTCACTAAGAAATAGTCTAGTCGACTTTGTTTAATAGGAGACGGTTGACGCCAGGTAATTTTTTTGTCAGTGGTGTGGCATGTTCGCCAGCACTTATGATGACAAAAGATGCAAGTATTGCCCCATTCCTCTTCCCATAATTTTTCAACTTCTTTACTGCTATGTGTTTCTTGAAAACAAACAATTTAAGCATGTTTATCCTTTGCCCTATCAAAAACATCCAATCTTTTCTTCTTATTAGAAAACAGACCCCTCACATTCATAGATAGTATAGTTATGTTATTATCTATTCCCATAAGTTATGAATGTATAAAAGTAAGTACATAAACTAGAGAGCAAATAAGTCAATCGAAAAACAGTAAGGAAGTACATATTGTAATCACATTCACACAACACACATACAATAAGATGACACTGATGATAATGCATAAAACACAGCAGATTGGTTTCACAGTATTGGCGTAAACTATGAACAGTATTTAACATTTTTTTATAAAATCAACAACAACAAAATGTATCAACAAACACTTGAAAAATTATGTTACATAAAGTTTTTTTGTTTTTTGTAGTCTTAATAGAGTTTTAAAGCAAAAAATGTATGTTTCGCTTATTTATTTATTTATGTAAGTCCGATGAATTATCAGTTGTTCGCACTTTTTTATATGCCTGAATCAATTCTGTGTACATTGATTTCATAAGAAGTTACAGGTCTAGATTTTTCGATCTCTTAGGGCGTTTTTTTTTTTGCCTATGGAAATATAAAATAGCTTGAACATTTCAGTTTACCGCATCTCTGGGGCAATAGATTAGACATTGTGAATACAGCTGTATCATGAGAAGTTACAAATCAAGTTTGAGTTTCGCTCAAGTTGTACATTTATTGCCGAAGTAGTTGTCCCAGGTCATAGAAATTGCATTGAAATAGATCCTACGGTGATTAAGTTTAGCCAGTATTTGTTGGCAAACTTACATCTTTAAATAAATAGACGTTTGTTCCAAATAACGATATGAAAAAAACATCAGTAACAACTCAATGATTGTCCATTTTTTTAAGTGTAAACATTACAGCCGGTAGGGGACATTGTTTCTCTAATTTTTTCACTATTTTCACATTTCCTAACCGATTGTGAAAAAATTGTTCTCCTCACTAGTGAAATACCTGTTCTAGGCAAATGATTGGTCGAAATTTAATTATGACGTCAAATTCTTATGGTTTCTTCTGAATTTCCTATATAAACTTATGAAAAGAGGCGACCATGCCTGGTGACGTCACATATAAAGAACACAACTTTCTGCAAATCTTTAAAAAGGATAAAAATCATTAGAAAAACATATTTCACCACTATTACTCGTGTACTACGATATTTCTCCACTATCAACATTTAAATATTTAGTATTTAAAAAGCTCGGCAAGCCTTGCGCTTTAAATATTAAGATTTAACTGTCTCGAGTGGAGAAATATCGTAACACACTTATTGCAGTGGTGGAATCTATATTTTGCATATGCAATACCCTCAGAGTGATTGTTTATATTGAAACAGTTCTCGTGAACGAAAATATTTCTTAGATTTGGGTTTTTTGGCACAAAGCACTTGACTTCAAGAGTTTTAAATTCATATAGGAGACAGGTGTGATAATAAAAAGATATCGAATTTCATGTATCTTTCAATTTGTTAACATGCAATTTTTTATAAAGTCTCGTATTATGCTTTTCTCATACTAAAATGCCATTTCCCTTAGTCAAAGTTGACCTCAGACGGGTTTTAGTATTCCTTTAAGTCCCTTTAATCATATTGATCTTTGTGTTCATATATCTCTTATTTTACTTTCCAAACGTTTGCTTTAAAATGTTTCCGGTAAAAGTCAAATTTTAATTTCATTTATTTTACATTTAGATCATTGTAGCTTAGCTTTCTATGTGAGTGCTGTTTTTTGTTCTACGGTTTCATCCAGTCTTTACGACATAGCTCATTACATTTGTGGTTCGAAAACACTTCTTTAATTCCTTCTTCACCTTGGTCTTTTGGTCCAAATGACATCTCAATTGAGTGAACTGTTGGCACGGTAAGATGAAGGATTTTGCTCTCATCCTCAGCTCCTTGAAAGTCGCATATCACCAATTTCCCTTCACTCTTGTGGTATGTGAAATGGAGAAAGGCCTTCAAAATGGGAGGACAGTCATATTCGCTGGTCCCGTCGACGCATATAAAATTCCTAAATAATCCTTCTATTCTGTCCTCTATCAAAACAATATCATCCATACTAAATCTACTTTTGTATCTACAGAAATAGTAACATATTGGGTTCCATGCTGATGACATGTTGTCTATCTGCGCCAAATAAGATTTAGCAAAAGCAACTCCTAATTTCTTTTCTGTGTCCATATTTAGTTCTTTTCGAAACAAGCTGACGTTGGTGTTTCCTGTGATGAACATTTTTCTAAACCACTGCGATTCCGTATTGCTTTTGTCATTCATCATAAAGTCGTCATTGGTTGCCGTTTTCACGACGCATTTCCTCTTTGACCAGTATGAATTATGGATGTTGTCCGTTATTTTCTCTCTCTTATTCTTAGTTTGAGTACCTTTGTCATGAAGGTTTTCATCTGTCGGTTCTTCGATCTCATCAATACGTTTTGATTCGAATGAGATACCTTTATACACGAGCCTACTTCGCCCGCACTTGAACGGATAATATTCGAAACTTGACCAACGACGTATTTCCCTTTCATCAGAAGATATCGAATGGTCTGTAGAATTCATTCCTTCTGAGTAATTATTGCCCATTGTGAACCCTAATAATGAAATTAAAAATAGTATACTGTTTATTTGTTCAGCTGCACTTTCCAATTCTACTAAAATGAATAATCATCTAATTACCATCAGCAACATTGATGGAATGAATGGTAGATGGTGGGCTTTTTCTGTCTCTTCTTGTAGTTTCAGAAGGATAAAAATAGGCATTTTAAATTTACTGGCGAAGATGTGCATTTTCTATACTTTTGAATGATTTAATTGGAGACGGATCCAATTTTTAGTTTTCAGGAGAATCCATTTTTGACCGAATTACATTGATGTGCTTCAAGGTGAAGGAGAAGGTACTATAATGCAAACACAATTAAAGAATAATGGAGATTGCAAATACGGTGGCTATCTATCAAATCCAAAGAACAAGAATTTAACGACTACAGGTCACCATACGTCCATCAACAATGAAGAAAACCAATAACGTATAGTAAGCTATAAATAGCCCGAGATGAAATGTGCAACAATTAAAAGAGAAAACTAACGGCCAGGCATAACATAAAACGAAAAACAGATTATGGCATACGGCAACCAACAACAACCAATGGACAGTCACATAAAGAATGCGACAGAGTTAAACATTTTTGTGAGCTACCCCCTTTTTCCCTGTACGTACCGGTAAAGCCAAAGATCTTAAAATTGTTGAATTGATAATCATCATTACTGACATTTCTGCACGTGTCCGGATTATATCATTCTTATTATTCAGCATTTAGATAAACATAATTTTGAAAGGATTGAAGAGTTATGATATTGCCATATAATAGATCTTGTGTGTCATAATTCCTCGTTTAGAATTTGTACAAATCCTGCGGAAAACGACTATTCACTTTTCAAATCCAGCTGAAAATGAGCTTGCTTGTATCCATCTGATGAGTTAAGCCTTTTTCAACTGATTTTTTTGTTGTTCTTATGTTGTACTATTACACCACTGTCTCAAGTTAGGGGAAGGGTTGGCGCCTTCAAACTAGTCTAACCCGCCACATTCTGTATGTGCCTGTCCCAAGTCAGGAACCTGTAATTCAGTGGTTGTCGTTTGTTGCTGTGTTAAATATTTGTTTTTCGTTCATTATTTTGTACATAAATTAGGCCGTTAGTTTTTCTCGTTTGAATTGTTTTACATTTGTCATTTCGGGGCCTTTTATAGCTGACTATGCGGTATGGGCTTTGTTCATTGTTGAAGGCCGTACGGTGACCTATAGATGTTAATTTCTGTGTCATTTGGTCTATTGTGGAGAGTTGTCTCATTGGCAATCATACCCCCATCTTCCTTTTTATTTTTGCTTATGTTGTGCTGTATTGACACTTTCCTAGGTTATTTGGAGGCGCCCGCAAACATGTTTTACCACTCCATATTATGTCTGTGCCTGTCCCAAGTCAGGGGGAGACTGTAATTCAGTGATTGTCGTTTGTTACTGTATATCATATTTGTTTTTCGTTTGTTGTTTTGTAAAATCAGGCCGTTGGTTTTCTACTTTGTGCTGTTTTTATTCTGTTATATTGGGGCTTTTTGTAGCTTGCTATGTGTTGTGGGTTTTGCGACCTATAGTATGGCAAGCCGTTCTCGTCAAAACTATGTTTAAACCATTTTTTGAAAAATTTACACACTGAGAATTAAAAATAAACACACTGAGATTAAAAAACCTAAAAACACACACTGAGAATTAAAAATTACACACTGAGATATCATAAAGACGCACTGAGATTACAAGAAATGAAAAACACACACTGAGAATTGAAATCACACACTGAGAATTGAAAATTACACACTGAGATTTCAAAAAGACACACTGCGATGAAATAAACTGAAAAACACACACTGAGAATTGAAATTACACACTGAGAATTTAAAATTACACACTTTTTATGCGCACATATCTAATAAGCATATTTAATCTGAATCTATTACAAGCTTAAAACAACTAGGGGACAGAACTCGTTGGTCCTTCAATTTGTCGCCAAATGTTTTATAAAAAACATTAGAAATACAACGTACAGAAAAACTACGTTATTAAAGACCAGTAGAACAAGAAAAATACCCACTTACCCGCATTACAAAAATAACCAAATGGTGAAAAACTTTATTAAAATTATAAGAAAACATTGGAACAATCTGCAAAAAGACAAACAATGCAGTGAAATGTTTACCCAAGTGCCCATTATAGCATATAAATGTAACAAAAATATAAAAGATTACCTTGAGAAATCAGGGTAACAGTTGAAAGACTTTTGAAAAGGGACCAATGCTTAAACAGTTTTAAGCAAAAAATCCCGATACACTGTTAGTAATAATCTGAATTATAGGCAGCAAACTTATGAATATGAGTTAGCAAAAATCGATGTTAAGTCTTGAAATTTATTACGAATGTGGTTGAAGGAACCGCATTTCATTATAATGACGAGAGTTCGGGAGACCAAGATATTAATCTGTTGAATTAATAATCTCATGAATATTCATTAGTAATGTGCATATTAATCTCAGTGTGTATTTTTGAAATCTGTGTGTAATTAACAATTCTCAGTGTGTGTCTTTCAATTTATTTCATCTCAGTGTGTCTTTTTAAAATCTCAATGCGTAATTTTAAATTCTCAGTGTGGTTTTTCATTTTTTTAAATCTCAGTGTGGAATTTTAAAATCTCAGTATGTAATTTCGATTTCTCAGTGTGTTATTTTAGGCTTTTAAATCTCAGTGTGGATTTTTTAATTCTCAGTGTGTAGTTTTTTTCGAAAAAAGGGTTTAAACATAGTTTTGACGAGAACGGCTTGCCATACTATAGTTGGTAACATCTGTATCATTTGGTCACTGGTGGATAGTTGTCTAATTGGCAATGATACCATATCTCCTCGAGTATATATTGGATATGTCTGTCCGTTCAAATTTTGTTTATTTTTGTTATTTCAATTTAAAAACAGTATTGTGGACTATAGAAAATATGTTGACGTTTTGAAACATTTTGTTCCATGGCAAACTTTTAGTTTTCTGTCAAATTTAATTGAGTATTTTCTTTTTCTCGATGAGTTATGACACATATATAAGGAATAAAATTTCACGGAATTTAAATGAATTAAGAAAATGTTAATATAGACTTTTTTTATATTTCAGCATATATATTGTCTTTCATATTTGCTTGAGGATTTCAAACATGTCTAAAGCGTTATTGGAGCCGCTGATTTTTTCACAAGATCCGACGCTTTCATAAAAATGATCATTGACTATAATTACAACAACAAATGGGGCATATTGTTTGTAGTAAAGCCTTATTTCCAATTTAGAATAAAAAAAATTGCGTGATCGACATCGTCAACACTTAATATTTTTATTTTTATTTTAACTATTCGCACTTCTGATTTTTTAGATATTTCCTACAACTCCTGCAGTGCATGCAGTCACAGGACTTTAAATATTTCAATTTATAATACATATATAAGTAAACAATAAATGTGGTTGTTAAATTTGATAGATGCTTTTTGTGCTTCTTTGTTAAATGTTTGTTTGTTTTGAGATTGTGACACTGTGATGACTGCTGTACCCATATTATGACAATGTTACCTATTTTGTCTGTTTTGTTCACGCATCGTTGTAAATACAATTGAATTTGATGCGACTGTCATACAAGTGAGAGGTTTAGCGCTATAAAACCAGGTTCAATCCACCATTTTCTACATTTGAAAATGCCTGTACCAAGTCAGGAATATGACAGTTGTTGTCCATTCGTTTGATGTGTTTTATCATTTGATTTTGCCATTTGATTAGGGACTTTCCGTTTTGCATTCAGTTCAGTATTTTTGTGATTTTACTTTTTTCTATTAATGGACGTCTCAACGATCATTTAATTGACTTCTAGGTAATCTTAAAATTCTTATTTCAACGAAACTTACAAAGGCAATTGAGTGAAATTGTATTCCGTAACGTCTACATTCAAAACTTTAAATGAGTTTAATGTTTATGGTTTCAAAATGATATTATCCGTTTTAATCTAAAATAGTTGATGTCATAAACATTTTATTTTAATGATTCACGCACACATTTTCATTATCTGTATACGTTATATTGTATATAAAGAACAGGTAGAAAGAAGACAACGAACCAACAATGTTGAAGGAGAGTCGGAAAATCGAAATTATTAGTAGTAGTATTTTTTTCAGTTGCACTTCCACTTCCAACCGCTATGTACATCTATTGCCAGAAACAGCTTTAATAGAATAAATTAAAAGGGGGTACTTTCGTTGAGTGTCTGAATAAAAATGTGGCAGAGGAAGGACATGAAGAAGTAGGTGTTGTGGAATTTTAAATTTGTCATGTGCAAGTAATGCGGTCTTAATTATGTCAAGTTAATTCGAAATTCTTAATAGATGGACATCCTCAACACTCTTGAACCCGAAAATTTGTATTTTGTCCGTTTGATCTTTCGATATTATAATAATTATAACTATATTAACAGTTGTCTCAAATGTAGATTAATAAATACTTATTTGAATAAGTTGTTTTAAATGAAATAGTTGTGTTAACATCTATATCCAGTACTTTAAATTTGATTTGTATCATTGATAGCTTTGGTCTATATAATTAATATGATATCATATATTTTAATTATTAGTGAATAACTAATGATAATGTTAATCTGCTCAAGCAATTGTCACTATCTCCACATGAGGTATGTACACAATACATTGTATGTTTATTACTGATTGGAGGCACTGAAAAGGGGGGAGCCAGAAAAACGAAATCAAGAGAACAAGAAACGATCAAGACAAATCGTAATCAACGATGCACGTGTAGGCGGCAACAGAAAAAAGACATTACATAAACAACAAAACACTAAAAGGCTTCGGCAATATGAACTTCCTAAGAAAAAAGATCGAGGCAGAAGACCCCATTGGAACAATAATAAATATCAAGTCATGGAAAATCTACAATTACCACCATGGCAAAAGCTACAACCGACGGAAACAAAACCGGGTGTAATATCAGGTGATCTAGCGGG